CGCTCCGACGCCGTATCCCGGGAGGCCCATCCTGGCCCCGCTCGCTTCTCTCGGACCCGGGCGCGTTCGCGCGGCGGCGTTCGACCCACCCGCCGCAGCCCGGGCCCCGCCAGCGCGGCGACCGCGCGGCGCGACCGTGTAACCCATACGAGCCTGATGCTGCGGCCCGGAAGCCGAGCAGGGCTGGTGGTGGCCCCCGCCCTCGGCCCCGGCCCCGGCCCCGGCCCCGGCCCCGGCCCCGGCCCGGCTCCGGCCCCGGCCCCTGCCCCAGCCCCGGCTCCGGCTCCGACCACGACCACCAGCACTTCGGACACTACGCCAACTACGAGCAGACTCAGCACCACCTGCAGTGAGCGGCCAGGACGCCGCGCACGGCTCTCTGGCACCGGAAGATCCCGTCCCATCGCCCACCTGATCTGAGCCGCTGGGCCTGTCATAGAAGGGACACTGAGCCGCCTCTGTGTTATTGATTTGAAGTTTTTCCGGGTGGCATGTTTCCTGTAATTACAGGATCCATTTTGTTAAACAAGTATTCGGGCACGAAACTGCTACGGGATGATGGGAGTTGCAGTATCCAGTAAGAAATGATAATGGTCATGCATATTCCAAGCGATATTTTAGGTTAACCAGTGCCGAAACATGCTTTAATGACATTAGTATTTTCAAGCAGAGGCTTCCCACAGCATTCCGATCGGTTGGAATTTAAAATCTATGAAAGCGGCGGTAAGTGATCGAATTTTGTTCGAACTTAAGCCTGGACCGAACATGCCGGGGAATTCAATGCATAAAAGCTTTACCCCTAGGTCGCGTATTGGGGGTAACGTCTCGTGCCACACAGCCGCTTTAAACAACCGATTTTTTAACCTGCGCCGACAGATGGTCTAGCATACTGTGCCTACTGGGCCTTTTTACGTTGCAAAGTAGGGATGTGCCTAGTGTTCGTTCCCCTATGTGTCGCGTGCACGACCCGCGATGGCGGCCGTGACGGGCTCGCGCAAGCCGACACGACGCCTAATCCAGCACGACCTGTTCACCGGTGTTCGGTCTTGGTTTCCAGCGAGGAACGCCTAAGGGGCGCCGCTCTGGTCAGTCGACTGGAGGAAAAGTTCTGGGACGAGGCCAGGTGTGGGGCGGTAGCACCCGGACATACGTTTGTCCGCCCGCCGAGGGTCTGCTTTGTCCAAGCGCCACCGAGGTGAGGGGTTCATTTCGGTCGCGTTTGTCTAGCTCTGTTCTTGCCACATTTTGACGCCTGGTCTCCGTGGGCCCGAATGAGCACGCCTCCCCCGGCCCCCGTGCGAGGCGCGAGCGCGACGGTTGTCCTCGTGCTGTTCGCATCATCTGCTCATAGGACAGGTGCGCATGATGGGCTCACGGAAGCACTCGGCAGTCGTAGCGCTTGCCTGTTGTCCTCAGCCAGAGCCGCTTGCCTGTCGCACTCAGCCAGAGTCGCTTGCCAGTCGTACTCAGCCAGAGTCGCTTGCCTGTCGTACTCAGCCAGAGTCGCTTGCCTGTCGTACTCGGCCAGAGTCGCTTGCATGTGGTCATTGGCGTGCGTGCAAGGAAGGAAGTGTAATGGCCCCCTCGCTGGCTGGTGAGCTTCAATGCATGTCCCCTGGCGAAAGGCCTACGCCGCGGTGATCGTGCCCAGGCCGTTTGTGTCGTTGCGTCCGACTCGTGTCGGATGGTCTGGGGCATGCCTGTCCCGTTCGTGATCATCGCGATCATTGGTGACAGGATATATCGATGGTTGTCTTTCCAATGTCTGAGATTTGTCAAGTGTGCGACATTTCAGCCACGCAAATGGTACGTCCGGCTCCAGAGACACTGCGCGTGCAGGTGGTAATGCCTTCATAACTCCGGTCCCTTCAGCCGATTGATTCATCCCTCAGCACCGTTGCACCCTGATCGTACCTCCAGCACGGGCGACCAGCTGGCGGCACCAAGTGTACTTGCCAGAGCTGATCGCCAGCACCTGTGCAGTGTCGCGTCCCTGCTTCTAACTTCAGCTGTGACCGCCAGGCGGCAGCACCAGGTGGGCCACTCGCAGCGCGGCCGGCGCGCCAAGCCGAGCGCCGCCGAATGGCCAATCAGCAACTACTACGAGTACGAGTCGGTGCGGGTGGTCCCGCATGGCGGCGGCGGCAGCGGCGTGGTCGACCCGACGACGAACCACTCGCTGCCGCGCCACCACGAGAGAACGCGCTCCGGGCCGGCCACCGGCAACAGAGCGGCCGGCGCCGGCCGAGCACCAGGCCCGGCCACCGCATGCGACGGTGAGTGGGGGCGAGTGAGGTGCGGAGGTCAGTCTGGTGGTGTCGGGCGGAGGGCTGGGTGGTCGCTTGGTGCCGGCGGTCGGCCCGCTGGGGCCGGTGGAGCTGATGCCCGGCCGGCGGTGTAATTGGCCCGGTGACGGCGCCACGCTTGCCTGACCGGTGTGTAAGGTTACGCGTTACAGGTGTCCCGTGTCTCTGGCCGCAGCTGCGGCCGCGGCCGGCGCGCTGTCGGCACCACTCAGCCCGCCCTGGCAGAGACTGGCACCGGCGGCTGTCCACCACGGCCGGCCGGGCCCCGAGCGTCTGCGGCCGACAGCCGGCCACGCCGCCAGCAAAGGCAGCCGGGTGTGAGTCCTCGTACCACGAGCAGAGGCGGTCGAGTCTGACCTTGACCCGCTGGGGCAGCGTGTCCGATCCCACTCCGGGGTCGCCGAGTTTCACGAGGATGGGGAAAGGATCAAAGGGTGGCGTCGCGGCTCTCTTGGGATTACTCCGCTACCCGATCTCCATCGCCCCCCCCCCCCCCCCCCGTCTCTCCGCCCGGTGTCACGCGGTGCTGCTGGGCTTGCGGAGCCCGGCCCGGAAGCCAGCATCTGGATGGCTTCGTCGACGGCGCGAGAACAATACATGAGATGAGCAGCCGAATGTTCGTCACCAGCCACCTGGCGTTGCGGCCTCACTCAGTACTGCGCTGCCAGGAACCCGCCTGAACACAACAGGCTTTGTCCACAGGCACCAGGCGCTAGTAATTCTCCAGTGCTATGCTATACACATCGACTCGGACAGTCGGGACGTATACGTTAATACATATCTCGCTGCGCCATCTTTTGTCACGCCCCACCGGCCGGCCGCGTCAGCGGACCTGCCCGAGCGGCGGTCCCGGCGCGGTCCGCCGCGGAGGCTGCGCAGCTCGAGACCCGACGCCGGTCCGTGACGCGGTCGCGCCCCGCCGCAGGGACGACGTGATGCTGGACTGCTGGAGTCTGGAGCCGGCCGAGCGGCCCTCGTTGGGCCGCCTGATGCAGCGGCTGGACATGGTGCTGGCGGCGCTGGCGTCCATGGTACGGCCGCAACGCAGCACTCTCGGCACGGGGACACGGGAGCTCACAGTGTTGGAGCCTGGTGAGGCGGTGTTTGCCAGCTGGCCAGGCGGCGCCGGCGGCGCCGGCGGCCGCAAGCAGCGTCGCTGAAGATCGTGATTCTGGCTGGGCTGCCGGCCATTGTCGGTGGGATGGAACGCCGCGAGGAGATTTGGGTTCGGAAACAGGCTCTTACGAGGCACAGAGACGTCGCGTGCATCGGGAGACCGAGACGTGGCCAATGTCGCCGACTGCAGGCTCGCAGCAGTGGGGTGGCTCGTGTCGCAACAATACCCCCGGCGTAGTGTCCGCGCTGACGGCGAGAGTGACCTGTCCGTCTTCATCGGCCGTCTGCCCGCCGCCCCCAGGAGTACGTGGCCATGGCCTCGCCCCAGCCGCACGTCAAGTACGCGAACGCGGTGGTGCCGCGTGCGTCGCCCTCCGCGTCGGCCTTGCCCTCGCCGCCGGGCAGCTCAGGCTGAGGGCGTCGACCGTGGGATCAGCGAGTCTGCAGGGACCTGGACTCGTGCCCTATGACGTCAGCGGACTTCCGTGAAGTCCGTGTCAAAGAAGTGCTCAGATTTGTTTTTAACAGTGTTCCTCACCGGACTTCCAGTGTTTCTCGCCGGGCTTTTAGTTGATCCTGATCCGGGCTTTTAGTTGACAGTGCGGCGCCTCGCTAGGACAGTGCGGCGCCTCGTTAGGACAGTGCGGCGCCTCGCTAGGACAGTGTGGTGTCCCGCTAGGACAGTGCGGCGCCTCGCTAGGACAGTGTGGTGTCTCGCTAGGACAGTGCGGCGCCTCACTAGGACAGTGTGACGCCTCGCTAGGACAGTGCGGCGCCTCGTTGGGAAGGACTGCGGTGTGGTATTTCTGCTTGGACTGAACAGAATGCAGCGTGGGTTGGCCTAAGCCGCTCAGCTCATGTTTAAGGTCGTGGTTTTTCTTTGTTTGTTTTTACAAGCGGTCCGCACTGGTGTTTGAGTTCCTCTTGGTATGGGTGTTGGAGATCTCCGGTGTGGTGCCTCGCGAGGGTCGTCTCCCGAGGCCTGGGGTGTAGTGTTTCTGCTTTGATTTAACGGATTAGCGGATAGTGCAGGTTGGCGGAATAGCTCGTCTTTCATGTGAGGTTGTGCTTGTATAGTCCACACCCCTTCGAAGTTTGTGAGCGCATTTTCATTGTACGGGTACATGTGACGTACCAAGCAAAGCCTTTCGAAGCTTGTGAGTGCGCTCCTATTGTACGGGTACATGTGACATGCGAAGCCAGAGCATGATTAAGGTGGTCCATTAAGAAGACCTTTTTATTTGAAGTGTTTTCGTTACGATTGTTTTGCGTAACGAAGTCAAGCTTGTCAAGCAAAATGTTTAGTTTGCTACAAGTTCATGACCTAGATGGTATCTGGAACAGTTTTAGTGGCGTAGTTCCTTTGCGGGTTTCATTGCAGTACAGACTCCTTGCGTTACGATCATATCGAGGACTCGGGTATTTGTGGTGCAGCTGTGATGTTTTTGCTGTGATTTTTGCCGGCGCCTAAGTGCTTGGACTGCGGCGTACCTTGTGATTGAGGCGACTACGTAGTGAATGTGCATGCATTCACCTTCGCGTCATTTGAATATACAGTGAGCCATTACATCGAGTAACTTGAGTCAGCTCCTTTCGCTGCGATGGAATGGAAACAGGGAATGGTGAGAAAATATGGGAGATGCGGTCGGCGTGTCTTGGCGCAGCGGACGCCGGTCCGGAAGCTGGATCGTGTGGTCAACCTCAGATGTGGAGAGCCCCAGTCCCGGAGATGGCAGGCCGGCGCGGAGCGACCACGAAGCTCGTTTTTGCATGTCATTCTTACTCCAGTGCGCGTTTGCCAAATGTGTTCGATATTTTGGCGTGACGAGTGCAACAAATGTGCGTAAAAGCGGAAAATTAGAAGAAGAATTCTTGGCGAGCGCGGATTACTACAAATTGCGTAACTGCAGCGTCTGGACGAATTGGACGCTTCTCACATCATCTCTGGGCCTCGTAGGGGAATTTCGATATTTTTAAAAACGTTTTGACGGGAGGTTTGATAGTTAATAGCGCATATTTTAGTGTTTGATTTTGAAAAACGCGAAAAATGCTGAAATCCGATGGGCACAAAGCAAATAAAACAACCAACAGTAGAAAGGCCAAGCAACACAATTTCAAATTGGCAAACGCTAAAAGGTAAAGAAAAATGAATGAATGTCATGTCGTTGACGAGTAAAAAGGTTGAAGTTGGGGGATACAACTTGAAATAGGCTAAACGTGGAAGTTGGTTAAGCAAGCCATCACGATAAGGGTGCAGGCAAAAATGAAAATGCAAGTAGGAGTCCATGGAACACACAACCAGAGGATCTAAGCAAAGCGTCAGCTGTACGAAAAGTCACGATGCTCTAAAATGAAGCCTGTCCTGGTCTTCGTGTGTCAGTCTATGAGCTGAGCTAGAAAGTCCTTACCTCAGTTCAGGAGGTTCTTTTCTGCATTGAAGCGGCCCAATGTTATGGAACAGAACGCTTTATATGATCTAGCTAGTTCCTCTCTGGACAGGAGATCCCCCTTTGTGTTCGGGATTTGCCGGCTCAGGATAGCTATTTATGAATCGGAGGACCCCTGTGCTCCGGGCAGGTACACGTTCTAACACTGCCCATGTGTAAGATGCGGTGGCTCTGATACGCTGGGCACACGTGTCGCTGTGCTAGCTTCATTGTGGAGAGTGAGACAAGCGCTGAGGAGCCAGTTGGAGCGGGACATTCCTATCCGGCGCACATGGTCCAGCAACTTCGCCTGCGTGACATTGGACATGGGTAAACTGGTGACGAGACTGCGGACAAACGGTCCCCTGCGGCCGGCGCTCCTGCCTGGATGGACCAGACCATGCATTGTGCTTGGTCATCGTGCCATGACTCCGGCGCGCACTGCCATCTGCCGGCGCATGCCTCCCGGCGGCCGCAGGACTGCCTCAGCTGCGGGGCTTTCCCAGTGGACTGGCCGAGGCCGCAGGCGGCGCTGTTATCGCACAGTCAGATGTCCGGGACCTAGGGGGCAGCCCGGGACCCAGGGGGCAGTCCAGGACCCAGGGGAGGCAGTGCAGGACCCAGGGGGCAGTCCGCGACCCAGGGGAGGCAGTCCAGGACCTAGGGGAAGCAGCCCGGGACCCAGCAGGCAGTCCGGGACCCAGGGGCGAGGCTTTCCAGGAAGCAAAAGCAAGGCAACAGAAGAGAAACATCCACAGGCAACAAAAGAGAAAACACTAACACAAGGACTTGGTATTTGTTCATTTCTAGTGAATTACTGACGTAATTCATTGGCGACACTGATATGCACCAGGGAATCCATGGACTTGTCAACGATTTCTCCGCGTTATTCGTAACGTAATGAACGCAGCAGGAGAGTACTTCTGTCGGCCAAAAATGGTTGAAATTGCTCGTACCCAGCCCTGCTGCTCTCCGTTGAGGCACTTTCAGAGTTTTACCTCACGCCTAAAGCAATCTTTCACCGCCGACGTGGCACCGCCGGGGCACGGATCGCAGGACGGCTGCGGCAGCCCAGACATGGGACCCTGCAGCTACGGTCCGCCTCCAGACTGCTTCAGTGGACCCTGCGTGGGACGGCTAGGACACAGCCCGTCACCACAGTACGGAGGTCCAGACATGGGACGGCCAGGCGGCATTCCGCCGCTGAGCCTGTGCAGAAGTTCCGACATGGGACGGCCAGGCGGCATGTCGCCGCTGAGCCTGTGGCCTGAGCCAGCCGGTGTTTTTTTCGGCCGTCCAAGAGAACGCCTTGACTGGACCACGGGTCCGTGGCGCCTCTGTCGGTAGAATGGCGATTGCACCACCGGCAGATGCCATACTCCTTGTCACCGCGTCTGTCAAGGAGTAGCCAGTTGTCTGTGTCGCTGTCTGTTGTCGCCTCAGTGTCCGGTTGGGTACCTCTGTCGATGTTTGCCAGGGTGGTCGGTACGTCCCGCGTCTCGTCTGTGGCCGTCTGCTTACGTCCTGATGAACAAATAGTCAGACTCTCGAGTTGAGCTAGACATTTGTCGATCATAGCCTTTCGCTGCCAGTGGCAAACACAGCATGCACGTTTCTTCTCTTCAACAAACGCAGTCGGCATTCCTCCAAGCACATGCACGTCAGTGCCTCCCAACACACCTGCACCTCCAGTCTTCCCCGCCCCAACATTCTCTACGGCTCTGCTCTCATCCGCCACCTCACTTCCTACAGCGGCCACTCCTCCCTCCATCTGCACACCACAGGCCAACGTAACCTCCACATGCCCGCTCTCCACCACCTCGCCTCCTCCAGGAGCCATACTTTCATCCACATGCACACCACGAACATGCTCCACCCCCACATGCGTGCTCCCCACCACCTCCCCTCCTCCAGAAGCCATGCTTCCATCCACATGCTCAGACGCAACACCGCGCGACGTCGACGGATCGTCGGGTCCTTTGCTGTCGGACTGTGACAAAAACAAGTCCTTAAACGCACGCTCCTCTGACCTCTTCCGACGGACTGACTCCGTCTCCGCTTTTATACTTTTTCTCACACAACCTCGAAGCTTTTTCGGGCCGACCTGGTGCTGGGATCTGGCGTGCCTTGGCAGGTTATCCTTCGTCAGCCGCTTGCCACAGGTGCTGCAGGGCACCAGGTCGCCGTCCTTCATCTCTTGGTGAGGGCGTCCAAGGCCTCCCATGGCCGGAAGGATCAGGAGCAAGGATGGCAGGGATGCCAGGAGGTCGCGTGCTACACTGTGTTCTGTCGACAAGTGTCACATCGCATTCCACGGGTCCTGCCACCCAGCGGTAAAAAGTGACGAGTAAGCGGTGACGAATCTTTGTAGATGGCAGCACTTACTGCCACAAACAGCGGTATGCGTAATACGACTGTGCAGGGCACGTAAAAGACCTTAGCGAAAGCACACGAGACATTTTCCTGAAAAAGTGCATTTGGGCTCATTAAGGCCTGGAATATGCCCTCGCATCTGCAATTGGTTGGTTCACATCCTAAAATTGAATTTCAAATGCCTTCCTAATTTCTGTCAATGCATAAAAGCTTGCTGTTGATATATTGTTTAATGCTTTGCTTTGCAGTTGATAAATGTTGCAAACTTTAAAAACCTACCCTCACCTTCATGAAAGTAATCTAAGCCTAACTTAAAGAAGCCTTACCTCATCTCACCCTGGCTAACCAGTTGTTTTGCACTACCCACTGGTCATGGGTGTTGACTGCAGCATGTAAACCATGCTAAGCTGCTGTAGATCTGTAATATGACCATATTCCAGAGAGGGCTTGTATTTCGTCATAATTTCCGACCTATGTTCAGTGGATGACATTTGATGTGTTTCAGCACATCATCAACTTTGATGCCCACCATGCCTGTCTCTTTGAATCTGCAAAATATTCTGTATGTTACTAATGCATATTTCCACAGACTAACAACACCCTGACCCCTTCTCCCTCGTGCCCAGAGCCGCTGGCGTGGCAGTGGGACTGGCCTCCAGCTACACCCTGACAGCACGATCGAGCCCGGCGGACACCACTTCTTCGAGGTCAAGCTGCTGACCGACCTGTACGGCACGGACACGGTGGGTCGCACGGGCGCGCGGCCACAGCTGCCCAGCCAGGGACTCGGCCGGTCGACGGCTCTATCCGTCGGTTGATGGGTTGTTCTGCTTTGTGAGGTATGACATTGTTGGTGCACGTGG